AAACAAAGTCATTATCCTTTAGGAGTAGTGAGGGAGGAAAGGGTGCCGCTGTCCGCTTTTCTCCTCAAACTCCAGTTTTTACTCCACCCCGTGTTTTCCGATCTCCCGGGACTGAGGGTGGGGTGGGGCGGGGTAGGGTGGAGAACGAACGGGAGCGGGCCGGCCGGCGCGGTGGGTGATCCCGGGATGCTGGGATTTAGGGTGAGGGCGGGGTAAGTTGGGGAGCGGAACCCGGACCCCATGACCCAGTCCGAGCTCCGCAGCCTGGACTGTACTCTTCCAAAGTCCTCCTTTCCTAGCGGAGATCTGGATCCCGCATCCAAGACCTCCCAACTCGACCTTGGCACGAGGGGGGGGGGGGCACAGCTGGCTGGCAGCTGGATCGGGGGACACTTCTCCCGCCTCCTTCTATGACTCATCCAGGGGAAGAAGGCGGGGGCTCGCAAACGACCCCCCAACACTAAAGAGACGCCCCCCGAACATGCCTACTAGGTCATCTTTCTGCCCCACTGCCCAGCCGCAGGGGTGCAGCCGCGATGGAAATGGGGCGACATCCCTCCTCGCCCACGCGTGCCAGGGCCCACCCACGACTCCCCTTCACATTAGTGAAAGGAAAATTTTGCCAACGTTTCCAGCTTCAGTTAAGTTTTTCTGGGGTGTGGATGAGAGCACAGGATGGGGCAGGAAGCTGGCTCTAGGGTTCTCCACCTGGAGCCCTGAATCATCTTGTGTGTCTCCCTATTTTCCAGAGTCCCTCTCGCACCCCCGCTCCCCAACTCCCAGGAGCCGGCCCCTCCCCCTTCTCCCGGTCCCGCCTTCTCCGCCCCCGTGCCTCCTCGGCCCACCCAAGTCGCCGCCGCAGGCTCTGGCTGCAGACGGCTCCGCTTCCCCCGCCCGCCCGGGAGCCCAGTCGAGCGAGCCGCAGTGAAGGGGGGAGTGTTGAGAGGCGGGACACATTTTTCCCTCCTCCCCTCGCGCATCCAGAAAGCTGGCAGAGGCGCCCGGTGTGTGTGGGGGCCGCTGTTGGAGAGTGGGGGTCCCAGTGGCAAGGTGGAAAAGAAGGAATCCAGAAAGTACAGGGAGAGAAAGTGGGTAAATAAAAGAAGGTGTGTGTGTGGGCAGAAGAGCCAGCAGGACACTTCGGTTCCTGGGTATCCCAGCTGGCTTCCCAAGGGTTAACTCCAACAGACCCCCGGGAACCCCCAGAGTGACGTAAAGGGCGGGGTCTGAGCCGCCTGGCGGGGATGCCGGGGAGATAATGGGGGAGGGGGTCTGGACCCCGCCCCCCTAGGGAAAACCACTCGAACTCCGGCCCTTACAACTCCCCCAGGAAATCGCCCCGCCTTCCTCCTCTACCCGACAGTAAAGATCTATCCTAGGAAGACCCCAGTTCCCCAGCCCCCTAAAATCTCCATTTCTCGGTCTCTATGGGATCCCCTTTCCCTAATCCTGTCCCCAAAGCTAGCTGCACAGGGCGGATTGTTTCGGGGTCACGGGGCCTGAAAGAGGCTTCAGAGCGGCGAGCGAGGGCAGGCAGGGTGGTCTGAGCCAGAGGAGGGGCCTGGTCCAGCTCCCGTTTGGGAGGGGGACCCGCAGGAAAGCACCGGCAGGCAGGGGCTAGCGGTCCCGCCCAGTCCCAGTAGGGGTCTCCCTGCCGCTGGCCCCAGCTGTCCCGGTGGTCCCGAGGTCAGAGGGTCAAGACAAGGGCTCCGGGGCTCCTCCTTAGCACCCTGCCCACCACCCTTGGGACGCGGGGGTCCAAAGTCCTTGGGGAGTCTTTCTAGGGCCTAAACTAGACACTGGTCCCTCCAGCCCCCTTCCTTGTCCAGAAGACACTCCTTTTCCAAAAACACATGCACCAGCAAGCACATCTGTCACAAGACAGGTCAGGGGTTCTAGCCCAGCCGCCCCCCGTGGTTTTGTCACCTCACACACAGCCATCCCCACCCCACCTAGGGTTCTCTCCTTAGCTGTCCCCTCCTTTCAGAAACACTGACGTCTTCCAGCCGCGCTCAGACGCACCTGGAGTTCCCTCTCTACCTTGCAGACCTCCAGCCTCTTCATCCCAACCTCATGAAAGCGAGATGTTTCTAATGTATGGGAGAGGCAGAGACAGACAAAGAGAGACACAGTTGCCTGAGACAGACACACAGACTGTCAGAAGAAAAAAAGAAACAGGAAAGGGGAGATACAAATGAAAAAAAATTCTCCAAACGTTCTACCGTCTCACCCCAGGCTCTCCCACCCTAGTTTTGCCGCTGTGCCCCCGTCCTCTTGGCTGGGCAGAGTCCCTCACAGGCAGAGCATCCCCCTCCGGCCCCCTCCCCCACCTCTCCCAGGTGGTCCCCCGCCTGCCCCCCCTTCTCACCTCTGTCTGGGCGCTGGGCTCGGGATGCGCGGTCCAGGGCTGGAGTCTGGGCTGGGGGGTGCGGTGGGAAGGGGGGGCGGACGGGGCCACTGCAGCGCAGCCTCAGTGCCACCCCCACCCCCCCTAACCTGGCCCCCAGCCCTCCCGCCGGCCCAGCCCGCCGGGCCGCGAGCCGGGACCACCCGCGAGAAGCGCAAACTTTTTTTTTCCCTAATGCAAAAACTTTTTCTCGCTCCAGCCGCTGGCGCGCCGCCGCTCTTCCCGCTTGCCCTTCACCTCCCTCCTATTTCCCTCCCTCTTGCCGTTCTGTAGGATGAGGCGGGGTAGCTGGAAGCAAGAGAGGGGGTGCCGGGCTTATTGCACCCCCAGGACCCCCAGGATCCTCCCCCTCCCTTGAGGGACCCTATGCTCCCCCCCCCCCCCCCGCCGAACACGCTGCTGGTGGTGGGCAGTAAATCCCGGCATGGATCCTTGGATCGGCTGTCCACGAAGAGGCCCTGAGCCAGTGCCAGAAATATATTGCAGGACGGGAAGGGGGCGACGAAAAAGTTCATTCCAGAAAGATGATGTTGGAGGTAGGGGCTTCGACTTTGATTGGTGCTGAAGGAGCACCACCCTGCGGTTTCTCGGCTGTCCTCACTCTTTGGATGGAACACGAAAGAGTTGGGACGGAGTTGGAGGGTTTGTTGGAAACAGGATTGTGACAGCCTTGGGTTGGGGGCCCTGGGCGTAAGGTGAGGGTTCTATGGAGCATAAGAGGAACAGAGGCTGAGGCAATGGGTGCAGAGTGTGTGGACACAAGGTCACTAGGGAACCCTAGCACGGAGGCACTGCTCCCGAGGAACCCCGGTTCTCCTTGTTCTTGAAGTTCTGGAGACTGCGGCCACCTCCGCACCTCTTCGCTGTCCGCTCTCTTTCTGCTCTTCCAGGCTCTCTGCTCCCTCTGCTGGCCTTTTTGGCATATGACACCCCCCTGGAGTCTTGGAGGCAGAGGAAACTTGGGAAGCGAAAGGAATAGGGTTTACAGATCCCCACCAAAGCCCAGTTCGGAGTCCAGGGAGGGGGTTGTATGAGCCCCCAAAACCGGACTGGCAGAGGCTGCTAGTGCAGAGCGGTAGTGTCTAATAGTGTCTCTTTGGATTTGTGTTGCCATGGTGATCAGATGCAGGGAAAGGGTCAGCTATTTCACTCTCTCTGACCTTTCTTTATGAGAAAGGGGCGAAAGCATGGTGGGGGTGGGCGGGAAGGTCCCTTTATTTTCTGTTACCCTACAGACAGACCTCCCACATCCTAACTCTGCTTCCAAGAACCACTTCCTTGGGGCTGGAGGGTTAGTAGGCTAACTGTTCCGTCTGAGGGTCAAGGGGAAACTAGGAAGTGATCTGAGGCCAGCGCATATAGATAGTAGCTGTGAGGTACAGATAGGAGCGTATTTGAGCTCCCTCCCCCATGTTTCTTTGACCCAGACACCAGTTATACCCAGAGGGTCAAGCACGACCAGAGGTCACTGAAGAAGAAGGGATCCTGTTCGTGCTCCTGTCTCAGCCATGTGCCCCACCCTCCAGGGCAGTTCTTTTAGGGCACACTGCGTTCTCCTCCCCACACTGCTTTCTCCAGATCAGCGACTCTCAAATATTTGGTTTCGAGACCACTTTACACTCTTTAAGTTTATCAAGCTGTTGTTTATGTGGTTTGTATCAATTTACCATATTAGAAATTAAAACTGAAAAAAGTTTGTAACACAAGAATACACAAGCACACATCCCATTAGCAATGTCAGAAAGATGATGTAATCGCATGTCACCAGCCTCTGGAAAACACGGAATGCTTTTGAGATAATGAAAATAAAAAGGCAAGCATCTTAGTATTATTATGAAAATAGTTGTGACCCTGTGGACACCCCTGAAAGGGTCTCAGGAGCCTCCCAGGGGTCCCCAGACCACACCTTGAGAACCATGGCTCTGGACCATCACCCCAGCCCTTTATGACTCACACTGGTTGATTTTTCTTCTTCATTTTTATTAGGAAAGTATAAATGTTTGTCTCCCCAGTGGGTCCTGCCTCTCACTGGGAAAAGCCAAGGAACTTCTCAGGCTCAGCACTCTTCTCTCCTGACGCCCATTTCTGGGGCTCTGCTCAGCACCTTCCTCAGGCCCTGCCCATCTCCTTCTTGACCCTCCCTTAAAGCACTTCCACAGTCCGACCCCTGGCCAGCCTGTTTCCCCTGCCCCGAGTCTGCTGGACCCTCAGTCTGCTTCTTTCTGCTCTCACTTGAGGACTTCCTCTTCTCGGGAGAGACTTAGTCATTTTCTCTGCCTGCTTCTCCCCTCCCTCCTTCCCTCCCTCCCTCCCTTGCCACTGCTATTTTCTCATAGGGCAGGAAATCATGCTTTCTGGGTAGGTTCCTTCGGAGGACACACTTTCCCCAGCTCCCCTCAACCAGCCTGGAAGAGACCAGCGTCTGGATAGGAAAGTGTCCATTTGGGTCCCAGAGAGGTCAACTCAGTCATACTCCCAGGTGGCCCATTGGGGGGGGGGGTGCAGAACGGGAATCTGATGCCTCCAGCCACAGATGCCTTTTGCCTGGGAACCCCCAACTCGATATCTTTACTTCAACCCCCAGATCCTCTTGCTAGCTGCAGCCACAGGCCTCCACCACCATATCTGGCACATCTGTCTTGACCACATTACCATCGCGGTTCAGGTAGAGGAGAGAGAGAGGCCTCCGGGCAGTAGGGACACAGCAGGAGGTACCCAAGGGCCAAGGGTTGTTGGCCTTGAGGAGGCTGAAGACAGCAGAATGGAAGGAGGCAGCAATGCCCGGGCTGCCAGCCAGGTGGGAGGGGCACTGCCCACTGCAGTAATTCAGCTGGTACCCCTCAGGCTGCAGGATCCAGTCCCTCCATCCCAGTTCCTGGAAGTCTACATAATGGTCTCGCCGACAACATAAGGGAGTCTCAGGTTCACAGGTGGGGGTCCTCCTCCTGACCCGGCCTGCTCCCTGCTCATTGGGACGGGTCTTAAGCTCCAGGAAGGGCCGCTGGTTTCCCTCTGTGTCCAGGAGGCGCTGAGCTTGTCCAGCAGCTGTGCTGTTGCCTTCTAGGGGACTGCAGTCCAGCTGGAGTCTCAGGACACGAGACTCCTCACCCCTCAAGCCACTAGAGGGCAGAGTCAGGGCATGCCAGCCAGGGCTTGTAACGTGGTGCTCCGCCAGGAAGGTGCCGGACCCTCTGTGCCTCCTCCTTGTGCCCCATCGAAAGATCTTCAAGTGAAGAGTGCCAGGAAGGGTGGGGAGTACATGAAGCCATAGGCGCGCGTGGGACAGCTGGTGGGACCGAGGAATGGACAGGTGGAAGGTGAGCATGGAGCTGCAGGTCGAAGTGGAGGAGTCTGCCAGAGAGATGGAGAAAGGACTGAGGGACTGAGCAGAAACGGAGCTCTCCTCCGAGACTCCTGCAAGCCCTGCCCACTGCTCTCCCCAGCACCCACCGTTAGAAGAAACAGGGACTGTCTAGCATCGTCTGCACCCGGTCCCTGCCCCAACTTCTCCTCCTCCCCCCACGCCAATGCTCGTGTCTGCCTTGTCTGCCAGCCTCCCTTTCTGCCTCCCT